GCCCCAAACGAAACGGTGGAAAAAAAAAAAAAAAAGTGTGAATTTGTGTGTTTGTGTGTGTGTGTGTGTGTGAATGCTCCTTTTTTTTTCCGAGGGGGGTGGGGGAAACCCCCTAACACGGCTCAGATGGCCCATGCAGGCTCTCTGAAGGGTCCTCGCTGCCATGTGGCACAGACCCCCCCACCAAAATCGAGGCAGGGAGTGAGTATGAGGTAGAGCACCAGTTGGCCAAATATATCCTCAGGATTCAAGTTGAGGTTTGTGTTTCAGCAGTTATGGGTTGCTCTACCTCGTACTCACTGCCTGCCTCGTGGAGGATGTGCCTATGGTGGTCGAAACAGCCTGACACTGTGGCTGCATCCTAGCCAGCAGTATCCATTATTCACTCGAACAGTTTTTAATGTATCGGGACCACTTCAAGATTCAGGTGCAGTTACGAATCTCTGGGATGTTGGCATTTGGCAAGTGGTGCAGCACGGCAAGGCAAGGCCCATTCGTCCTGGATATTTACAATATTTTCAACGACGACGAATGAAGTCGCGTTCGGTTTAATGTCTATCGTCTTGTCTATCACTCTTCTCCTTCTTTCTGACTGCTTATTTCCTCTGTCCCGTCTTGTGTCATGATGCTCTCTTTCATGTGGTGTTCATTATTACAATGCTAAGCTAACAAAGTTTATTATTACAACTTTTCCTCGCGAAGTAACCGGTTTAGGAATAGCACTATAACTGTGTGGCTTCGTAATTTCGGCTTACATTTAATATGGCTTCCAACCCGAACGTCAGCTACGTGCGCATATGCTATAACTGTGGACAAGCAGGTCAGTATGCACGATTCTGTCCTCATCCGCCATGTAATCCACCACCTCCTCCTGTTCTTCCTCCCCCTTCCAATCCTAGCACGACGATTGTCCCTGTCCAAACTTCCACGCCAGTCCCTAGTCAGTCGTATTATGGTAATAATAACAGTTATCAGTATCATCCTGGTTCTGGATGGCATAACAATATGCGGAGATTCGAGGTGCTTGAGGAGACCGTGGCGACCATCGTCACGACGCCGAGATCGCCAAAGAGAGAATCAAGAAGGAGGAAGAAGAGAAACGAATGAAGGAAAAGGAAGAAGAAGACAAGAAGATTCAACGAGTCAAAGGTAGAGAGGAACTCCAGAAAATGATTGGTAAGACCATAGATACAAGATTGGGGGGGACTGGAGTCAACGGTGTGCCTGCCAAGAAGAGCGAAGCCAACAAACTTGACAAACTGCGCGCAAAGGTTGCCGAGTTAGAACGAGTGAACACGTCTTCAGTCGAAACCGGGATGAGTGAAATCGAGAAGCGTCGTGCCGAGATTGTTGAGCTGAAGCAAGCGCAAGTGTTTTCTCGACCTGCCGGCCATATTGCCGAAGCTGCTGGTCGAGCTCAGGCTGAGAAGGAGGAGGCTTGGAAAAACATACAAGAGTCGTACGAGAAAAGGATGACAATATCGGAGGAGCAGATAGTTACCTTGAGAAGGTTGAAGGATGATGCAGTAAGTGAGGCAGACGCATGGAAGTTAGAAGCACAAAGGTCCGGCAACAAGAGGGGCGACATCAATATTGGAGTGACACCGACAACTCAGGCTAGGGTACGATCGAGAAATACTCCTGTACAAACCACGACTCCGAGGAAGAAGATGGCGCTAGAAGATTACCAAGCGTTTGCTCAACAGCATGAAGAGGAGGTTGACCTTTTGTGGGATATGCGTGCCAAAGAGGTGGAGCGAAGAAAGGAAGCAGAGCTGGAAGCCGAGCAGTTGAAAGAAAAGCTCGATAGACTGGAGATTGAGAGGGCAGAGAAGACAAAGACGGCTGAAACATGTTTGCAAGCTCGCCTGGAAGCTGTCATTAACGACGCAACTGGCCCTTCATCTATGGGCAAGAAGAACGCTACAACGACGAAGAACGATGATGCGATGAAGATCGATAAGTTGAAGAACGACAAGGAGGCATTTGTTAAGTCCAATCGTCTCGACTTGAGATCTATGAAGAAAGATGCAGTGCAAGCTATCTGCGAGAAAGAGGGAGTTTAGTACATAACACTGGAAAAAACAAAGGAGGAGATTGTGAAAACGAGACTAGCAAGGGCATTTGGTACCAGCACCGAAGAGACAACCAGGCAGAATGGGGTCGTGATCTAAGAAATTTCTGACGACAACACCGCGGTAAGTGCCAATTTAGATAAGACTGCCGACGGTGAAGACGATGTCTCTTAGTGTCTGTTCCGGACGCGGCTTGGCTTTGGAATTTAGCACAGCGATGTAGTGTTGCTCAACGTTGATCTACGGATTCCCTTAGATGCAAGAAGCTGAATACGATTTTTTGTTTACTTGTGTTGGGATTGATTGTATGCGGACAGATTCCCTAGGCTAGCAAATTCATTACCTCTTTGTCGATGTTGTTAACTGGTAGTTACAATATTTTGGAAGGGAGAGGTCCGTTGATTTACGCTCTTGTATCACCATGGTGTCGGCATGTTTACATTGGTAGTACCACTAGGGACATACATACAAGGTGGAGTGAGCACGTCTACAGAGTGTGCGATGCTGAACTAGTTAATAAGGGAAGAAGGAATAAGAGGCTCTACAAGTGGCTTAGGAGATGTGAAGTTGACCGATATGTAGCTATTCTGTTATTTTGTTCGTTAAATGAAGATTTGGCTACCAACGAGAAATTTTTCATTCGAACTGTTGGATCTGGACTGAACACACGGGATAGATATTGCCGCACGAAACCAAGGAGAAAAGGTTTGAGAGAAAGACTGAGAGAGAAGAGAAGAAATGGGGTCGAAGTTGTTAAACAACTATCTATATCAATTTTTAGTTTTCATTCCAGTGTCGGGATCGTCAGTACCAGTCTATTAAGGATTTTGGATCACTGTAGCAAGAAGGAAAAAGTTCTTGGTCCATTGTTTGTCGATGGGGGTCTCGTCTTGCAGATCGATGGGATGTTTTGAAGAGACTGTATGGTGGTTCTACGGTTTTATCCTCTTTTGGTGTTCTTCAATTTCGACAAGCAAGATCTTGGTTGGTTGATGGCTATACTGTTCTTTTTACTACCATTGTTCCTTTTTGGAACCGGCTCCTTCCTTTGAAGCAACCACTGTCAACTCTGTTGTCGAAACCTGTGACAAGGAAAGAACTGTATCGATGGCCCTTCGAGAAGCTAGTGCTTGCATTTTCGATTATACGTACTTTCACGGAAAAAAGAATAAGGGCACGGTTACGATTGATCTTATCTAAGGCAGTTCGAACATGTTTTGGGATTGAGTTACGCCGGCGCTTAGTTATTAAGATTGAGTATCATAAGATATACAATAAGGCTAAGATTCGTTAGTTATATGTTTCATTGGTTAAGCACTTGGATATTTCAGAAGGATGGAAGCAGATGCTAATACGAAGGATGAGGGTGGTTTGGCGGAGGAATAGAGCTGTTGGTGACAGTATTCACAATTTTCGACAGACATCCAGGACAACAGACTTCCGTTGCCGATGTGATAAGGCTGAGGAAGGTTTTCCTAGGGTCAATGGACACGTATATTTTAGATTAAACAGTGAAGGACTTTTCCCACCATGGATGAGTAATTCTAAGAATATTATAGAACCCTCGAGGAGATATGCTTTTTCTAACCTTAGGAAATAGATCGTTAGTTCTTTCCTCTCCCTGACCTCTTTGCCTCCTATCAGTGATAAAGACATCTCCACCTCTGATCTTCACTCGTGTTGTCTCACAGCAGAGTCTACAGTCCATAGTAATGAGATACCACCTACTTCGTGCAACCTCGATGAAATCGTGATTCAGAAACAGAGATTGGAAGGATTGGTTTGTTGTGCGGTAGATCAGAATGTTGGGGATACCTTTGTCTGTTGTGCCTCTCTCTATACGCAAGGACTTGATAAACTTTTCTTAGAAAATCCATCTTTGGTGATTCGTGATGTGACGGAGTTGGACATATTGAGTAAAAATAAGAATGAGTATGAGAAGTTGGGATTGGAGAAAGTGGGAAAATGGAATGTGCGTGGCGGTTTGGGGAAAGCATATTGTATGCCCAAACACAAAGATATTGGAAGATGGCGCCCTATCTGTCCATCTTTTTCAGAATGTTCGGCTATCGGAGGACGGAAGATCTTACGAGCGGTTAGTACTCTACTTTGGAATTTGTCGCATCACTTTCATCTCAACCTACGAGCAACCCATGATCTTATGAAGGAAATCTGCCACCTGAATTCTTCTCTGAAGAAGGATGAGTATCTTATCGGAGCTCCGTACGACGTTAAAGAAACGTTCAGTAATTTAGCACATGCTTCTATTGTGCGGTCTTTTGAATGGGTAACCGATTACTGGATGGGAGAAAGTTTTCGGGGTGTTGCGTTGCAGAAATCAGGAAAAGGATCTCGTATGATCAAGGGCAAGTGTGAGGAAGGATGAAATTTTATATATTTTCGCAGTATTCTTACCTTTGTGATTTTCGAGCTGGAGAATACCTATACCCGAGTCTCAGATAAAATTCTCCAACAGATGGTAGGCATTCCCATGGGCAAATCATCAAGCCCTGTCCTTGCATGCCTGCTTTGCGCCTTTAATGAGTTCTCCTTTCTGTCTATACTTGACAACGATAGGAAGCTTTTCCGTGGTTTTAGATTTGTGGACGACGTTTCAGTATTTGTAATATGCAAGAAGGATTGTAGTGATTCTGCTAAGAGAGGGCAACGACTGGTACAGGAATTCAACAACAGTTATAATGAGAAGTTGACTTTGGAAAAAACCAACGATGGGTGATGCTGAAAATTCCTTTGATGCATTATCAGGATTTTGGAGGGCGTCAAGGGACTTGCCTGCTTTCCGACTCATAAGAGCAAAGTCAATTGGAACAACCCCCGTTTAACATTTTAGAGTATACAGGATTATAGCTCCTACTCCAGTAAACAGCAGAAAATGACAGTAATAGGTTCCTTTCTTCATCGGGCGCGAGTCTTCTCCTCTATTCGCGGCACCGAAATTCACTTTCTGTTTACCCTCAAAGTCGAGCTTTAGCGGAGAGGATACCCTGATGCCTTTTTCGATAATGCATTGATAAACTTTTCTAGGAAATTTACTTGGTTGTGGGGCAAATGGTTACCTATTCTGACCGACAGGGATAACTAAGGTTTTTCTTCCTCTTCTTTTATCTTTTCTATTTTTTTCGTTTTTCTATTGATATGGTGTTTTGCGAAGATGAGGAAGCTGGTTGAGGACGTGTGGTATACTAGGGGAACCTCTACTCTTTACGACTGTTTTAAGACAGATCAACCGTACGTTTTTTCGTAACTCAGGTTTCAAACCTTTCACTTGAAGATACCTACATGAGTTAGGACGTAGAGTGCTCGAAAGTTTTTGGACTCGTTTTGGGATAAGTGAAGACGAGGCAGTTTGATAGCCTTTTCGCAATCCGGGCCTTGAACCCCCGCAAACCTTTTCCTAGGATCATAAAACACGTTTTCGAACAGCGAACTACTATTTTTTGTGTAGGGGTGACTTGAATGAACTTGGATGGATTTCAGAGGAAGTACGGACACGACAATGGAGCAGTGGAATAAAAGATCTTTTTTATTTCTTTAGAAGCCTCCCGGAGATGTTATGGGTCGGATAGCTGTCTAGTTTCATTCAGAGGTTGCAGATGTAGGCAAGACTCTTTTAGCTATTCTTTCTTAGTTCCTATGTATAAAAAAAGAGATAGAATGTTCTTTCGACCAACAACGACCCCTGATGAAGCTGGTCACGGAGGCCAGCCGAAACCGGTAGGGTCATCCGCCGTACAATGGCGTACATTCGTCCTGGATATTTACGATATTTTCAACGACGACGAATGAAGTCGCGTTCGGCTTAATATCTATCGTCTTGTCTATCACTCTCCTCCTTCTTTCTGGCTGCTCATTTCCTCTGTCTCGTCTTGTGTCATGATGCTCTTTTTCGTGTGGTGTTCATTATTACAATGCTAAGCTAACGAAGTTGATTATTACAACTTACAACCATGCAGACAAACGAGTCTTGGGGCCTCGCTACACTACTATCGACATGCACAAAAGACAAAAATATTGGCGGTGTATCTTTCCATATTCTAACGGAAGATTCACTATCGTTTTGCACATTTCGAGAGTAGTGCAGTGAGACCCTTGGTCTCTGCACGTGGAGGATGTGCCTGAGGGCATAACACAGTAACCGTTGGCATAAGCCAACGGTTTTATTACTGAAAAAAAAATAAAAATAAAATAAAAATAAAATAAAAAATTACTGCGCCAGATGGCGGCCACCGAAGTGGCAGGGGACTTAGTGTCCCCAAAAGCACACAGTAGGCGCCTCGCTGCACTACTCTCGAAGTGTGCAAAATGAGAGTGAATCTTCAGCTAGAATATGGAAAAATACACGACCATGATTTTTGTCTTATGTGCATTTCAAGAGTAGTGTAGCAAGGCCCTAGGTGCCGGTCGAAAACGGGCAGCCGTTTTTAGGTAGAACAGTTTTTTTTTTTTTTTCATTCGTTTTTAGATGTCCTTTAGATTCATTAGGTAAATTTTTTTAGGTTTTTTTTTTTTTTTTTTTAGAGAGTCGTTCGTTCGTTTTACGAACGGGCTGAAGGAAAGAAAGGGGGGGATTTATGCTGAGATTGCGGTTCGATACAGGGTGTTGTAGCACTTGGTTGCCTTTGGATCTGGCGCATTTCTGCACCAGATACAGACGCCAGGTGGGAAGTTGGGAGTTGAGAGAGAGAGAGAGAGAGAGAGAGAGAGGGAGAGAGAGAGAGAGANCCAATCACTCCGCTGGTCTTCGTGTGACCAACAATCCCTCAGCAGGCTCTCGGGTGACCAGCAGTTCCTTTGACAGACACTCGGTAATCAATCACTCAGCACGCTCTCGAGCGATAAACAGCCTCTTTGTCAGATACTCCGTGGCTAATCACACAGCAGCTCTCTTGTCTCTAGCAGGTCCCTCATCAAATACTCAGTGGCCAATCACACAACAGCTCTCTCGTCTCTAGTTGGTCCCTCATCAGATACTAAGTGGCGAATCACACAGCAGCTCTCTTGTCTCTAGTAGGTCCCTCCTTCAGTCACACACACCATCCCTTGTGCACTGCTCCAGTACTCCTCTTCCTTGCCCCAAGCTAGTCACCGCGCTCCGCAGAGTGCCGGTGGGGGCTTGGTTCCCCGGGCACACCGTCCGTTCCAGCGCACAAGTGTTCCCCTCTCTCGCCCACCAGTCGGTCCGGTGGTGGGCTGTGTACGCCTAGCACGCTGTTCCCTAAAAAAAAAAACCCTCTGCGCTCGGCTGGACCAGACTATATCCCTCAGTGGTGCTGGCCGTTCACAGCTCAATCTCCGCAGCGTCCTTCGGTCCCTTTTTCTTTTTTTTTTAAAAAGGGGAAAAAAAAAAAAAGTCCGGTACTCTCGGTGCCATCCTTACCAGGCCCTTCGAGCCAGGTCCTATTTTTCCCCTGGTTGGTGCCAAGGGTGACATAAGTCTGTCCACGAGATATCAAAGCAAGTGGTCCCAGTAATAGTGTGAGCGGCCCTGGGTCTTCGAGTCACAATGCTAGGGTCTGTTAGACCACTTCCCGAATCAACAACCGTAGCTGCGTCACCGCCGAACCAGTCACCGTACCGAAGTAGCAAGCCTGATTCACAGTGGCCCGCACCGAGTCATAGCAGTTTTGGACATAATATCACACTGACCAAACCAAAGGGCGTATGTGCCGTACCCGTGGTAATTTTATGACCCGCAGCAGCCCCGAATCAGATCAGAACCCTCTTCAAGCAGCCCCATGTGTTGTACCGACCCCAACCGGCCATCATAGATTTCCGTCTCAGTGGCCATATTAGTGCTGGCCCAGTGATCATACCGTTGGAATCAACACTGTGCCCCAGACAAATGAACCACACCAACCTTGATGTGGATCAGAGCCCCATACTCTGTCATGCCTAGGGATACCTTCGACTCATAGGAGCCTGTTCCAATGCTGCTCTGGTGGCTGTCCCGTCTCAGCTTGAACTGCAGCAGCCTCAAACCCGCCTTCAAAAGAAAAAGAAGAAGAAAAAAAAAAAAACAGCCGTACCATGCCAACGCCGAAACAGGACCGAACCTGAGAATATCTTACCATGTCGATGCAGGCCCAATTCCAAACCTGTAACATGTCGAATACCGAGGAATGCCACGGCGCCGTAATAGTTCCGAACCTGCCCGAACCAGACTGTCGCGCCCAAACCGAACCAAAGGATGGCTCCCAGGCGTGTGCCACATGGATGTCAGGGCAATATCGTGCATGAAATGCGTCAAATACCATACAATGTCTGAACCCCATAATAGTATCGAGCCTCCCGATCTACATGAACAACATAGCGGTAACGCCCCACATCCGTCCATCCCTTACGGCACACTAGTTGCGGGGAGTTAGGGAGATTTAGGCAAGCCATAGGTATAAATCCCAATCATCACAGTATAGCTAGAATCATGAGAGTTTGAATAAATGATTAATCCGGGGGTAATTCCGATCGCGGATAATTGGAGCCAGACTACGCCARTCARCTAACAATCTCGRCTYTCCTCMCATCTTTTCCTTTTTAATTGCTTCTCCTACTTCTTGATTTACTTATCAAAAATATCAAGAACAAAAGCGAATCCATCAAAAACAACTTCCGATGGAATCCAAATAGATAAAGAAAATTCTTTGTTTGATTATTTTTCATGTTTTTAAATTTTTTTTTTTTTTTTAATGTCAGAAAAAATCAATAATTTAGGGTGTTCATGTCAAAAGTTAAAAAATATTTTAAATAAATCAATGAGTATTTCGCTTTTCTCTTCTTTTCTTTTATCTTTAATTATTTCTCTCATTTTTAATTTGGATACTAAATTTAACTAAATGTTTCAAGCTTCATTTCAGCCCAGCTCGCGCCTAGTGCGGTCACTCATCTCGTCGTCTTTGAGGGTTGCTTGAAAAGTTCAGCGTGCCCAAAATTAGGGGTGCCCTGAGCCCCCCTAATTTCTTTTGCCTGGTCTACCCGGAGTACCGTCAAAACACGGACTCGTCTTTGAACCTAAGATCCAAAACCCCAGCTTTCAGGCGGCACACTGCTTGTGGCCGCCTGACAACGTGGCGACAACTCGCCGGTTTGACACGTGGCAGTCCGTGGATGACGAGCAACGACGGCCGGGGTTTCAAAATCTTCGCCACATGGCCCGCTCGCGGAGAGAGAGAGAGAGAGAAAGAGAGAGAGAGAGAGAGAGAGAGAGAGAGAGAGAGAGAGAGAGAGAGAGAGAGAGAGCAAAAAAGAGAGAGAGAGGAGCAGACTTTTTTGCCACATCACGACAGCGCACCGATTTGACATGGGGCATCCTGAGAGAGAGAGAGAGAGAGAGAGAGAGAGACAGAGAGAGAGAGACAGAGAGAGAGAGAGAGAGAGGGAGAGAGAGAGAGGGAAGAAAGGATCGCGACAGGCTGTTTCGTCGGGCTTTCACCAACTCATCAGGGGGTTACAACCCCGACAACCCATTTGAGGATGGGCAACCTAAATAAACCTACCCCCAGAACTCGGGGGTATGCAAAAGTTGTAGGTAAGTTTTTTTGTTTGTTTGTTTGTTTTTAGTTTTTTTTCTTTTTCTCTTTTTTGTTTTCTCCCCTTCCCGTTCGTTTTGCTTCCATGTTCAAAAGACACATGCAGTGGCCCTAAGGGCCTCTACACAACACAGACAAAACATATGGCGGCGTATTATTCCATGTTTTGCAGAAGATTCATTCTAGTTTTGCACATTTGGTGAGTAGTGCAGCGGCCAAGCCCTGAGAATCACGTGCAGACTGTGCAGAGACCAACACGGACGTGAGCAACCCATAACTGCTGAAACACAGACCTGAACTTGAATCCTGAGGATATATTCGGCCAGCTCGTGCTCTACACCATACTGACTGCGTGCTTCAATTTTGAGGGAGGGTATGCACTTTAGTACTGCGAGGACCCTCCAAATAGCCTGCATGGGCTGTCTGAGCCGTGTTAGGGGAATTTCCCCACCGGCCGTGCCCAAAAAAAAAAGACCTTCCATATGGAGAGGGGTGACGTGGTAGGGGGGGTGGGCCTCCGGGGGGGCTTTTTTTTGCACTTTTGGGGTTTGTTGAACGAGGCCCGCCACCCCATAGTCCGCGATGCGCGCGCGCTTCCCGGGGTCGTGTTTAATTTTTTGTGCCACGTGGCGTGCAGCGCGTTTGAACGCGATTGAACGCGGCCCCGGGGGGTATGAACGCGCGCGTTTGAACGAGAACGCGCGTTCGGCGCGTTCAACCGGTTACACAGTCCCAAACACCCCATGCGACGCCTTTTTTGCCCAGGCCACCATGCGCTCCACTGCCTGGTGCAACAAATCCTCAAGCTGTTGGCCATAAGAAAGTGCCGCGGGAACCAATATAATGAGATACAAAAATTGGTCTTCGGGCCATTGGGTCCTCGTCCCTTCAAAAATTGCTCCATCCACCCCAACCGGAACAACTGCCACCGACTTCCCCCAATTAATCCTTGCACCCGCATATTTTTCAAAGAGAGCAACCTCATTCCGTAAAGCCGAAATGCTCTGCTGCGTCGCCCGGGATACCACCGCGGTGTCATCAACAAACGTGTTGGACTTGACCTGGACCCCTCCGGGCAGCTCGAAACCCAAAATTTGGTCGTCCGCAAGAATCATTTCATGCAAGTGCTCCACATCCAGAACGTACAAGGCAGGGGAGAGGGGCAACCTTGTCGCACAGAACGTGTGACCCTCAGTGGAGACGACAGGAAACCATCAACCTGCACCCTCGCCACTGCCATCCCCAACACCCCCTCAATAGCCTTTACAAAACCCTCCCCAAACCCTTTACACCTCATTCCTTGTAAGAGAAAAGGCCACCTGACCCTGTCATAAGCCCTTTCAAAATCCAAGAAGAGAGTAGCTAACGGGGGCTGGAAATCCATAGCCCTTTCCATGATTTGGAAAACAAGGAGGACGTTCACAAGGATCTGTCTTCGAGGGACGAAACCAGTATGGGTGGAATGAACAATAGCGGGCAGCACCACGACAATTCTATTAGCTAGCACCTTGGCGTAAAGCTTGTACGGCACCGATAAAAGAGAAATGGGCCTCCAATTCCTAACTTCCTCAATACTCCCCTTCTTGTACAAGAGGACAATCGTGGCCTGGCCAAAAGTAGCTGGAGGAGTCTCTCCCCCTGAGAAAAGACGATTAAAGGCCTCACACAAAAACAAAAGGAGAGGACGTGCTGCAATCATCAAATACTTGGCCGGCAAACCATCCGGGCCCGGCGGCTTGCCTTTGTGCATCCCGGACAGCGCCTCTGCTACTTCCTCTTAGGTAAGGAGTGCATCCAAAAAAGCCTTAAACTCAGGTGACACCTGAGTGACACACTTGTCCCATACATCCTTAGCCGACACAACCATCATGTCCTCTTCTTGCCAACACTTATCTTCACAATACAGATTCTCATAAAACAATTCAACATACTTGATGATGTCGGGATTAGTATCCGCCTTAGCTTCAAGTGGATCAAATGGGTGGCCCATTGCCACGATCAATGGCAAGTGAGAAGTCTTCTTCATTTGGGCAAAGAAAGCCCTGGACATGCATTCCGCGTCCCGTACCCACTTAGATTTTGAACCGAGACCCCATAACTCCGCATCACGAGCCTGCCAACTAGCCCATTCTGAATACAAAAGAACCCACTCTGCCCACCATTCATCCTCGTTCCCTGGTGGCGGGACTTCACCCAACGCCTCGATCCGACGAAGGTACTCCTGACATGTTTGATCATGCGCTTGCCTTGAAGCCTTAGCCTTCTTTTTCATGATCCCAACCAAAGCTTGAACACCATGATGGAGATGCTCCAGGGGCGACACATGTTGAGGACGCAACGTAAGCCAATGCTCCCAATGCTGTTGGACAAGTTCCCTATGAAGGGCATCAAATAATGACCACGACGGGGCAGACATCGGAGGCGGTCTCCTGGCCACTCGGGGATGCAAAGCCAACGAAACAACAATAACCTTGTGGTCCGATATTGGTACCAGTTGTTGGTCAAAGCCCAGAAGATTCGACAGGAGATCACTCGAAACCCACTCCATATCCAGCCTGCTTTGAAAGAAAGGGGAGGTCCCAAACCAGGTGAAGTTCCTGTCATCCGGGGAAATTCTGCGGAAGACATCCACCAAGGCCATGTCAGCCATTAAACCACGGAGGGCCTCCACATCCGGCCTTGGATCCCCCAGAACAACCGAGTCCATACCCGGACGGATGACCGTGTTGAAGTCCCCTATCAATTGCACAACATCCGTCTCCGGAAGGCAAGCCGCAAAATTTCTCCAAAACCACTTACGCTCAGTGACATCCACTGGAGCATAAACAGTAGCCACCAACGACTTCGTCCCCCCTTCCTCAATGAACATCCATGTCCACCTTCCCAACGTATCCCAAAAGTAGTCCTGAACCTTTCCCGTGAAAAACCTCGTCAGGATTATTGCAACCCCCACTTTCGTCCCCACTGCCGGACCCACAACTGGAAGGGGCCCCCGAAACCAAATTCCGGGAGGGCCAACCGCCCCCCTCTCATCCTGGACTCTGAGATTTTCGTCTCTTGGAGGCACAACACTGACAAACAAGCTCTGTTAACTATCTTCTTAACTTCCTTAGCCTTAGCTCTGACTGACCGATACCCCAAACCGCTAACATTCAATAAACCCACTTTGAACATAAACAAATACACTGTAATAATGACAGGGGTGTCATACCCACCAAACCCTTCAACATGCTCCCATAGAATAACAGAGAGTTCGAATTACCCTCGGCCACTTCCCCGAGACCGATCCGAATGCGACACCCGAACCGAGACTCTCGACTTCCTTCGCAGAACCACTGGGCCATTTTGCCTATTAGAGGGGCCGGTTTGCCCAGTCCTCAGTGAGGAGGTCCTGGAAGCAGACCCTCGTGGAGGCTGGACTCGATGCCGCGAACCGTACAACCATTCATCAATCGAGTACCAAAATCTAGTACTTGAAAAGCGTTTGGCCGCCGGCATACGCCTATCAAGGTCCTTAAGGATCCGCAAGGGTGCCAACATGGCTGTGACAGTTGCATACTTTTCAGCCTCCGCGAAGTTAAGGACCAGCGCAAGGTTCCGCCAGCCAAAACTAGGGGCCGACAAAGCAATCCTGTGTGAGCCCTCATATTTCGCCCGCACAAAAAAGCAATACAACCCCTCCGAAAAACCATGATTAGTAAGAGTCATCAACCGGATGGTAGAGATACCCGGAATCATCGCCACCTCAGCCGCAGCCCCCAACCATTCTTGAGCTGCCAACAAGGCTCGTTGCTGAGTAGGCATTGCAGACAAAGCAATCATTGGGAACCGTGCATTATGCACCCCCGCCGATGCCGACAAAGTGAGTACCTGCAAAATTGACTCAGCCTCCATGAAAAGCAACGACACTAAATACAAACGCCCTTCTTAGAGCATATCTTCCAAAACGTCGTCCAACAGTTTCATCTGCAACCTGTCACTAAAAATGTCTCCCTCTCCTGGATCCATATCCCTCCCAGCCGTTCTGGGCTCTGGCTCCTCGTCCCGGCCTTCTTCCTGCGCACGTCGTGCGGGGTCCGGGGACGATAATCTCACCCGGCCTCGAAGCAAATCGGGCGAGGGGGAGTGCTCGTCGGCCAAGGTCCTCAGTGGTGCCCTGATCTCCTGGCACGATACTGACTGGACAGCCACCGCGTTAGAGCCTTCCTCATCACTTGCTTCAATAACCCGTTCAAGTCGCGTGAGGACCGCAGGCCGGCTAGCCGACCGCATATTAGACGGGGGGCCCATGCCCTGCGAAGGGCAACAAGGCGAACTCCCTCCCCTTATCACCGGCTGCCCCCCATCCGTCCCTGGGATCACCAACACCCCTCCCTTACAAACTTCTCTCACCTTCATGGGCGGCTCATCCTCCTCCGAGCTAGCAGAGCCCTGCACCATCAGCTGCTTCCCCTTTCTACTAAGATCAGCCTTCCCATGAGGCTTCCCCTTCCTAGCTGACTTACGAGAGCGAGAGCGCTTCCTAGTTGAGGGTCCCTCCCTAAACTCCTCCTGGAGCCTTCTCCCATCACACATGTCACCCCGTAATGGCCCCGCAATTGTTTTCATTAAAGGACAATCAGCCTTATCCTCTAGAGGGGGACCACTCTCTCTTGCAGAATCACCCTCCTGAACGGGCGACCGGAGCATGCCCTCTCGTGTAGCAGGTTCCTCGATAAACCACCCTCCTGCAAGCACCCGAGAAGAGGGACCAGCTTCATCCATCAACCAACCGCCAGCCGCTCCCAGAAACGTAAGCGAATGACATGCCTCGATGTTTACTCGGGAAATGAAAATCCAGGCCGTACTATGTATTACTTATAAGTGCGAGGGCTGCGAGGGGCCAATCGGAGCAGGGTGTTGGGCCGCCACCGGAAGCAACGAGGCCCCAACCATGGGCACCGCCAGCAACGAAGTAACCACAAGGCATGCCACAGAGGGCTGGGCCGACTGCCGCGGGGAGCACACAAGTTGCTGCGAGCATGGGTCAGCCATGCCATGGGGTTGTACTTCTCCATGCAATCCCGGCGAATTCTCCGCCCGGGTAGCCCTGACCTGTTGACCATCACCACCCTGCTGCGACGGTGAACTTAGCTGTCCATCCGGGGCACTTACCTCATTCCGGCGCTCGCCCATTGACCGAATTAGTTGTCCACCCTGAATTCCTCCCTCATTCCGGAGTTCACCACTTAATCGACTCAATCCTCCATCCTGTCGCTGACCCGAGCCACCTTGGAAAAGGGGGGGATCATTCTGCTGTGGCTCATTGAACATTTCCACCACCGGCACCTGGGAAACATCCTGCATAATGGCATCCTCATGCCCTTGACGGCCTTCAATAGGCAATTGCCCTGGAACCACCATCATTTGCGGAGCTGAACCTTCTTGATGTTGCCCCGCCGCTCCCCCCTGCTGCGACCCCCCCGCTCCTACATTCGATGACTGCGCCTGGCCCGCCTGCACAAAGGGCGGCATCCCTACTCCTTCAGTCGGTACCCCAGGGGCGTCATCTCTCCAGCACTCCGAGGGGTGATCACTCATATCACTCTCATCCCACCGTGCTCCCGAAGGCGTGTTCCCACGCATCCGGTCGTGAGACGGTGATGTCACCGGCCGAGTTGGTACCCCCACGCCCCCTGAGTCAATACCACTTCCGCGCGCCCAGCCCCCACGCACGCAGCCCCTCAAAGGTGGGAGGAAACGTACTTCAGCCAAACCACACACATCTCCCAAGCTCTCATCAGCCATAATCTCCGCACCGATCATCAAATTCGCCTTCATCTCAAAGAGGACCCAACCCTCAACCTCCTCAGCAGCGTTGACCGAACGAGCCGGGTGTAAACGTATATGATTTTCCCTGCGGCGAATCTCTTCCCTCGTTTCCCCCACCGTCAGGCACTGGGCCGCGCTAGCCAAATGACCATGTCTCCGGCACAGGTCACACAAGGGAGTCTCACTTGTCACATACCGAACCTCCGGCCGACCATAGCAAGGTATGCCCACCGACAAACGCTCCAAAGCCGACCGCCTTAGGGGGGGGTGCAGGTCGAATCGAATCATTTCCTTGTCGTTCTCATCATAAGATGAGTGCCCTCCCTCATCCCTCAACTGACCAAACCGCTGCCGAGCAACCGTTCTCAAGTGCAGCCTTGCCAGCGGAGGGGGATGTAAAAACTTAACCCATGGATTCTGCCTCTTCTCCATAAGCCGGTCTCACTCCAAATCCACCGATGTCTTCCACTCCGCAAAGGAAACCCGAAGCCTTTATCAATCACAACGTCCTCCCGCATCCTCGTATTTAACAACCAATTACGTAATTGGGCCGTGGGTGCCCAGTAAAAAACCATTCCCGGCCCTTCAATGGAAACAAACCTTGGGAAATTCTTTCTGTCCAATGGAGGCCACGTGGTCTCCCACCTTTTAATTGTATCGAATTTCATCGTGGACGAGAAGTCCCTACTCCGACCTCCAAAATGCATGACCACCACGTGAGCTCTCATGTATGTAGCCTGAACCCGTGCCACCGCATCGCCTATGTTAAGGCAGATCTCGTCACCCTCCTGCTGTGGGTCGCTGCCATATCATCGAAGAAGGTGTTTGTCAGAACCGCCTTCCGGAATCTCCTTATGAGATCCCACTTCGAGGTAGTCGCCCTCTCCCTCGTAGCCATCACTCCTTCCCACAAGGTCACCGATCAATTCCGTCCACGCACCCAGATGCCTCTAAGTCACTAGAGTAGTACCCGTACAGGCCGTACCTACCCGTAGGAATCCCACAAGCAGATGTGGCACCCAGCTGCGGAGCTTGCGAAGCACTTGATGAAGACGACTCCACCCGAGGAGCAGGACCCTGACTCCCCAAGCGAGCCACAAGCTCCAAACACCATTGCTCTAACCGCTGCAACCGTGCAAGCGGATTCCACCTCTTCAGAGCAGAGCGTGTAAGCCCACCAGACCCTAGCATGCGGCCGCACCTCGCTCCAATCACCAAAAGTGTGACTAACACACCAGAGGCACCGTCCACAGTCAGCCACCAGCGCCACCTAGATGCCAAATAGTGCCCGAGATGGAGGCAAATGGAAGATACCTCATACGCACACAGCCACGAAAGAGCCGCGATCAAGATGTGACCGAGTTCCGCAACCAAGCTCGTAAAAAGAACATCCAACCCGCCCAACAAGCGCCAAACACCTCCACCAACATGCGCCAAGCATCGGGCAAGGGTGAAGCCAACCCCACGCAAAAGTGACAACGCTTCCTTCTCGTACTTCCCCACCAAATAAGCCACAAGGACGAGAGACACCGAGGCCAGCAGCCTAATCACCTCCATCCAAAAACATCCCCGTCAACCGGCGAGCTCCAAGATACCACTTCCCTCTGCCCTCATGCTCATATACGACCCACCCGGGCATATAGTGAAGCGCACACCAAACCGGCATCGAGCGCCATGTCTTCCCCCAGTCAACGCCCGGGCGACAGAACCCCAAACCTGCTAGAGGACCATAGGTCAACACACCGGCTTAGTGTCTCAATCGCAATCCCACCACTCGTCCGATTCACACTGTCGGCCTCATCACACCCACCAGTCATTCCCCTTGCAAACGTGGAGTCGTCAGTAACCAAGGCTCCACCTATGGCCGAACGGCTGTCGTTGGTGGCCGAGGGGCATGTCGGCCAGACTACGCTCCACAAAGCAGTCGATTCGCACTCCAGACCTAATCTTACCGGGCCGTTGTTCCCCTTGCAAGCGGAAAGTCATCTTAGACCGGAGCACCACTCGCGGCCATACAGCCGACGTTGACGGGCAAAGGTTATGCCGGCGAGACCAAACCCCACGCCCTGCCCCTTCAACCGCCAATGGGCACACCCCAGCCGTTCTAGCAGGCATGACCATGACAACCCCACCATTAACTTCCCACCTTGAAGGCACAACCATGGCACCCCTGCCACTATCATTCCTACCATCTAGACATGACTCAACACCTAACCAACCCGACTGACCCTCCCGGTGCAACACAGCGCATTCACAGTGCAAAGTGTTCACACCTAGACGTGCATAGCTTAGTCTTTGAGACAAGCATATGACTACTGGCAGGATCAACCAGGTAGCGGGTGTAATGAGCAGCCGCAAGGAGCGACGGCCGAGGCGCACGTAGGCACGTCACACCGGCCAGCCTACCAAAAGAACGTTGAACAACCGTGGAACGTGCAATGAGCTCCCGAGACGCCGCGAAGTCTGGTTGTTTGAATTGCAAGTGAACTTCCCCTCCGTAGGCCATCTCCAACGGCAAGGTACCGCACAATCCAACACAGCCCGCCGCACCCGCTCACAAGATTGGGTGCGAACAGCACCCGCCCACACCACAGCCTGAGATCACAAGATAACCACACTATCTGAACAACGGCGCACGCAAAGGAACCACTGACCGCTTCGGCCCACAGTCGGATGCCACCGCCCGCCCAAAACGTACCGACAGCGAAGTGCACCACCTCATCTCTCCATCAAGAAACGAGGGTGAAGAAAGAAACGAATGCACCACGCCTCCAACACGGTCGGAAAGCCTCCACCTGTGCACGGGGCCGCAAAAGGAACACCCGCCCTCCCCGCTGGATCCACATGCGCCTGTTGCCGCGGGCACCACCAACAGAATTCGACGCAGGCAAAACCCAGGAGATAGAGGACAGTAACCTTCAAACCCCACAACCTAAACGGAGTGGAACCACAACGCAACGGGATCCGTCATAGTGTGCAAACCAGAACAAGAACCGACCTCTCTCACAAAGTACAAGATAGCATAGCGGAAGACTTAGATACCAATATTCCGAACAATCAGTATTGCAATGCAGCCCCGAACATACATCATCATCATCACTCCATGGTGTGAAGGGGTCTGGCGCTCACACAGGAAGAATGCGCCAGCCCCAACCATACACAGACGAAGAAGAGGGGCTGCCGCTGCATCATCTCTCTCTCTCAGTCCGGTACTACCCTGTGAAGTTGGCGCCTTGATGCAGGTACCTCGAAGATGGAGCTGGAGCTATGGCGCCATAGGTAAGTCTCACTGACCTCCGCCAGCCATCTCTCTCCAACACTACTACCACCTACTAGCGCCCAACGCTGAAGACTACTACTACGGCTACTAGCGCCCAGCGCTGAAGACTACTGCTAGCGCTAAGCTACTACTGCAGCGCTAAGCTACTACTGCAGCGCTCCTCCTGAGTGCTGCTACCGAATCCTGAAGACTGTCTCATGCCTTCTGTCCAACTACCTCCCCGTGAAGTGCATAAGAACTCCCTATGTACTACTCGGTCTGCCTCGTGACTGCAGGGCGAGGCAGTCCAGGAGGCTGCTCTTGCCAATGCCGAAGGGAGTCAGGGGCTGCCGCTGCAGCTCCTGCTCCTGGTTGTCGTGGGAACAGGCCAAAAATAGCCTGTTCACGAAACCTTGGTTTTGTGCCTAAGTGTTAGGGAAGGCCGATCTTATGAGGGCCTGAAAGTGGCCCTCCGTTTCAGGCTGAAAAACCTCAGGGCTGAAAAACCTTGTTTTAGGCTGAAACGACATAGGGCCTGCAGGCCCTAATTTTCAGTCTTTCAGGCTGAAACGACACGGGGCCTGTAAGCCCTTATTTCTAGGCTTTTAGGCTGAGAATGCGGGACGGGCCCTGCAGGCCAGTGTGGCTACGCAGTATGCCACACCCCCCCCTCCTTGAAAGATCGAGCTTACCTGCGAGGGCGAAGCTGTCTATCTGAGGGAGGGACCACAGTCTGGGTGGGAGGGGCAGGTCATGAAGTTCCTTGAGCTAACCTTTGTCGTTCGTAGTGAGCATAGATCAGCGGTGTGGATGCTTTTAAATCTGTTCCTGAAATGCACCGAGTGTCGTCGGGATCGTATGCTTTGAATGTACTGTCGAGTCGTACTGCCGTACTTGCGATCCGTAGATGGAGGATCCTGCGATCGCCGTCCCGGGAAGTCGTCGCTCTTAGCTGGTGCATATGTTGCCAGCTTTGAGGCGTGAAAGACTGGATGGACCATCAGATGCGGGGGGATGTTGATCACAAATGAAGGGTCATCAGGCTCATTGCCCGCGGCTGATCTTACGGGCCATGGTCCAAACCACTTGGAAAGCAGTTTGCGTGAAACATCCTGTTCCAGTACGAACTCTTCCGCGGAGACCCAAACCAGATCACCGGCGTGGATGGGACATGGCACGCAACGTCTGTTGGCTTGCTGCTGCATGAGGACTTGAGCCTTTTGCATGTTCGCGAGGGTTTGAGCCAACAATTCCCTGTACTTCCGGACGGACCCGGGAGAGCAAGCGACGTCCATGTCGGCTCGTCGTGGGAGGAGAAGGTCGGCGAAGATACGACCTTTCGGTCCACCGTGGTGCAACTCGAATGGAGTCACGCAGATCGCCGGGTGCACCGAAGTGTTGTAGGCGAACCCGATGCAGGGGAGGCGGTCAACCCAATCTTTCAGGTCCGGATGGATGAGCGTACGAAGCATCATTTGAGCGGTTTGATGTGCCCGCTCCGTTTGCCCGTCCGTCCATGGATGCTAAGCCGAACTTGGTTTCATCTTCGTGTCGCACTCCTGCATGAGAGCAGTCCAAAATGTCGACATGAAGCGAGTGTCGCGGTCGCTGACTATGTCTTTCGGTACACCGTGGCCACAAATCCAACCGGTGTGCAAGAGGCGTGCCAGCTCGGGAGCCGTGGAGTAGTACTTGCAAGGGAGAAAACGCTCATACTTACTCAAACTGTCCCCAACCGTGAGGATGCCGTCATGCCCGAGGCGATCACGGGGAAATGGTCCGGTGACATCCATGGCAATCGAGAGGCCGGGTTCCTGTGGGATAGGCATCGGGCGCAACTCGCCGTAGGGGTTGCGATTGCGGGGCTTGCTTCGTCGGCAAACTTCGCAAGAGTCGCAATACCGAGTGACATCGGTAATGACGTCGGGTCATCGGAATCATTGTCGAAGCTGTGCAATAGTACGGTTGACTCCGAAATGGCCGGTGAGTCGCGAGTCATGGTACTCGCCGAGAAGGCGAGTCTGAAGACGACGGTCTCGTGGGACACATAGTAACTCCTTGCCTCTCGAGTGGAGGAGCAAGTACCCGTCGGCAATGTGATAGTGGCTGGCCGGCGGGTGATCCGAAGATAGTTGCGCATACAATGTGGCGAAGTCCGGATCAGACTCATAGTCCCGGATGAAGTGTCGCTGGAGTTCCTCGTCGAATGCGAAGGCATGATGTGTCATAGCGCAAAGATCAGGTCTTCGCGAGAGTGCATCTGCTACGCGATTGAAGAGGCCGGGGAGATGTTTCGGTGTGAAGTCAAATTGGTCGATGAAGTACATCCATCGTCCGATCGTGCTGCTCACCGTATCCTGCGTTTTGTAGTAGGTCAATGGGTTGTTGTCCGTGACCCATGTGAACCTACGACGCCCAAGGAGGAAGTGTCGCCATCGCTTGAGAGCCATCACGAACGCGAGCAGCTCCTTCTTCCTTGCATCATCAAGYGAATTGATGGGAGKCACTTYGTGGMTGAAATACTCCAYAGGGTGCCAGTCRTCGYYRTCGTGTTGTTCCAAGACTGCCCCAATGCCATARCCGRAAGCRTCAGTTGTCACTCTCGTAGGCAGGGTGGGGTCATAGATGCTAAGGACGGGTGCCATGAGCATGGCCGTCTTAAGTGCTTGGAATGACCGGCGTGCATCGTCATCGAATAGGAATGCCACCTTTCGCGATTGTAATCTCGTCATAGGTGCAACAATCCTTGAGTACCCGATGATGAATTGCAGATAGTAGCCCACCAACCCCATGAATGAACGGACGTCCGTGGTGTTGGTGGGCTCGGGCCATACGCGGAGGGCCTCGATCTTGTCCGCAAGCGGACGGATGCCTTGCGGCGTCACATAATGTCCCAAGTACTCCAGCTCTTGCCGCGCGAATTCGCATTTGTCGCAGTTGGCTTTGTACTTGGCTTGTCGTAGCCGCTCCAAAACGGTGCGCAGGTGTTCCACATGCTCGTCCAAACTCCGGCTGTACACCAGGATGTCCTCGAGGTAGATAAGTACGAATCGATCCAGCATGTGTCGGAACTCCGTTGTCATAGCCACTTGGAAAGTGGCCGGGACATTCGTAAGGCCAAATGGCATAACCAGCCATTCGAAATGCCCATATCGTGTCTTAAACGCGGTCTTGTAGCGGTCCTCCTGCCGAATCTCAGGTTGGTGATATCCCGACTTGAGTTCAAGCTTGGAGAAGAACTTGGCGCCGCCCAGTCGTTCGAGGAGGTCGTCGATGCGTGGAAGAGGTCCGGCATGTCTGACCGTTTGCACATTGAGCTTGCGATAATTGATGCACAACCGCAAATCCTTGTTCTTCTTCCGGACGAAGAGAACAGGAGCACCGTATGGCGATGAGCTTGGCCGAATCTAGCCTTTGTCCAGAAGGTCGTCGAGTTGTGCCCGCAACACACTTAACTCTTCCTCGCTCATTCGGTAGATGCAACCACGTGGAGATACAGCCCCGTCCTCAAGGATGATCTTGTGGCGGATGGGCCGATCCGGTACTACTCCGTGCGGGCCTTCGAACACGTCGCCGTAGGCGTCGAGAAGTTCGATGATGCGTGGGTCTGAAGATGAGTCCGTCGATGAAGCGTCATGGGGCGGGAGGGCGTGGAGAAAACACACCCCCATCTCCTCGATGTCGTCTCTGATGATGGAAGCTCGCATGCTTGTGGCGGACACCACGTGACAGTTGATCGAAGGGTGAGGAGGAGCCACCATGCATGGGACTAGTACTCCGTTCCGATCACAAACGTGAATGGTGCGGCGGTAGAAGTTCACCACGTGATCCTCACTTCGCAGCCATGACATGCCCAAGATCATGTCGAATTTGGTGTCCAAAATATCGAAGGACACCGCCTCGCTTGTATGCGGGGCAAAGTACACGAGAACGTCATCAATGCACCGGTCGATTGACTTGTGCGCGTGACCGTCTGCCAACGTGACTTGCGTAGACTTGGACTTCCTCCGGACGCGTGGGCCAAGCCTGGCACGTACCGTAAAGTCCTGGCTCATGTAGTTGCAAGATGCTCCGCAATCGATCCAAGCGCAGCAGTTCGCCTCTCCGATCTGAATGCGTACATATAACAATGGTGCGTCGATATCGTCGTACCATTGTGTCTTGAATTCACGGTCGATCTTCGCAATGTAGTCGTGAAGGTCGCTTACCTCTACTTCAATGTCCATAAACGGAGTTGGTACGGCAATGTGCAAGTAATCCTGCAGTTGTATCATGAACACATTGCAATGCAGTTTCGACAATCGACCGGACCGGGGAAGGGGCATCCATTGGAAGTCCGCAAACGTCAACGGGTCGAGCTCTTCAAGTCTTGACCATATCGTCGAATCCCCGACTATAGATGGCGGCGAAGCTGCTGACTCGGTTGCCGATGGTAGTGAAACCGTGCATGTGGTACATTGTTTCACGTGGAGCGGTTGGTCCAACGGTGGGACCAAGTGGACAGCATAGTCCTCGTAAGTGTACCGAGAACTTGCGACATTCGCATCCTCCTCAGATGTGTAGGAGGCCGCTAGCAAGGCGACCGAATCTGGCGGAGTGAGAGGTGGAGTCGCCTCACCTCCCGCGGACCCGCGGAACTCAGTTTCCCGAGTTTATACGAGGCCGAACATCCTCCTTTCCTTGATCCGGGCATTGGAGGGCTTGTGCTTGGTGCTGTTGCACCAATAGCAGCCGCCGTAGCGGGCGCGCCACTTGTATTCCGCCTCGGTCAAGTGAAACTTGACCAATGGTGTTGGTTGTCCGTTTCCGGTCGGCGATGCGGTTTTCGCCTTCCCGTTCCCTCGGGACTTATTGTTGCTTCACGGATGGACAACAGTCACCTGATCTCCCTCACGTGACGCTTGGGTGGTTGTCGAGTTTTCAACAATATTGTCCGATTGGACTGCAGCGACATGCTGCGGCCTCAGACCAGTTTTCACCTTCTCCACATAGGTTGGTTGCCATGCTGATCTCTCGTGTGCAGCTGTCCTATTAGTCTTAATGATCTCCCTTGCCTTCTCGATGATTTCAGCAAAGGTCACGCATTGCTCGCGATCACCAAGTGCAAGTCCCAACTGTCCAAGAAAGGAGGGAAAATAAAAGAAAAGAAGAGAAAATTGAGAAAAGGGCCTTAACTGCTAATTGACACTTGGCATGCACACAGAACAAGAAAAGAAAAAAAAAATGGAGGTGAGGGAGGATGAGTGAGTTGGCCATCAGTTGGGATTGCAGCAAGTAGGGACTGCCAAGTCCCAACTGTCCACAAGTGGAGGAAAAAGAGGAGAAAAAAACGAGAAAAGAAAAAGTAAAAGGGAGAGAGTCAAAAGGGCACTCACGGACGAAAACTGCCACCTTGGGAGGGCATTTTGGGCCCGATTCACTTTGGGCATATGGCCGTTAAAAAGGACCTAGATTTTCTTTGATTTATGCAGGGAAAATCAAAGAAAATCAAAGCCCCCTGCAACCGAAAAATAACGGATTGCGTGGGAGAAGCCAAACACTTGGGAGTTGACCGTTTTAATTTTTTTCAGTTGGGGGCTAGTTTTGGGGCACTAGGATAAAGAAAACAGACCCTACTGCAGGCCGAGTTACAACGGACTGCATAGGGAGGGGCAAACTTAAGTTTTTGAGGCTCCGAGAGCCAAAAGTGAGCCCGGACCCCTTAGGAAAATTAACGCTTTATTTTCCTTGGGCATGGGGCATGAGGTGGGGATGTGGGACTAATAAACTGGCCATGGATGCAGCCCGAGAAATTACGGACTGCATATGGATGGCCGGGCAAAGGGAAAATGGGTCACGGCGTGCCGAAAAGTTAAGGGAATGACGCCGTGGGCCTACGGAAGTGTGACGGTAAACGGCGACGGCACGGCGGGGTCCCACAGCCGGAAAATTATCGATGGTACTTAGGACACATGAAAAGGATAAAACGGGACTGACGGGGTCAAGGGAAGTCCGCAATAAAAATTGGGCATCAACCGGGATGACGCCGGGGGCCAAAGGGACCCAAATAAAAATTGTCGAAAATCGGGCCTTGTCGACGGCACCGCCGGCGAAAAAATAAAAAAAATAAAAAAAAATGGAACTAGCGCAGGGAACGGCGGGGACTTGAGGTGTCCCAAGTGGGAGACCACTGGCCAAGGTAAGGAGTGGCCGTGAGAAGCAAACGGCGCCGTCGAGATCAAGGGTCTCGACGGTGGAAAATATTAGCACCACTAGTGCAAACACTAGTAGGGCTCAAAACGAATGAAAAACGGGAGTGAGGAGCAAAGGAAAATAATAAGGGGAGGGTTGCCCAGCAGTCCGGGGTATTTCGGACTAGTTAGGCATGAGAAAACAAGAGCCCAAGGGGCCCCAAGCAAGAAACGGGCTAGCCAAGAAAAATCGGAGCCAAGGCAGCTCAAAATGGGGGCTAATGGGAGGAAAATGAGCCCCCTCGGGCATGGGCATGCCAACTTGGTGGCCGGGGTGTAACGGCCAACAGCCGGGCATGAACCTGGCCTCGATCAAGGCCCTAAGGCCTAGAAAGAGGAACAAAAATAAAAGAAAAAGAAAAGAAAAAGAAGAAAAAAATAAGGAAAAATGAGAGAAAATATGAGAAATGGGTGGAGGGGAGTGTGCCGGCCCACTAGAATGGCTGCAGTAGGGACTATCAGGTCCCAATGATGACCTCACTCCTCCTAGATCCAAGGAGTGCAGGCCGGATTGCTGAGAAACAAAATCTGAATTTAAAAAGACAAAAAGGAAACAAAATGCAAAGGAAAAAAATCCGATTTTATTTTGGACCATGGATCTGAAGTCAGATCTCATGGTGGGGAGGAAACAACCGTTTTTTGTGGGCCAGCAAAAAAACGGTTAGATCCGGAATGAGGTGGCAGCCCAAAATGGAAAAGGAGAAAAGAGGGAAAAAAAACGAAACAGTGCATTTGGCCCAAAAAAAGAGCCAGATGCACAAAAAATTAAAAAATTGAACTTAGGGGCTCAAAATTAAAGCAAAGGTTACTAGGGGGTGGCACGGGTTATTGCTGGCCTTGGATCTCAGCCAGATCCAAGGCTGAAAAGGTGCCGCCACTTAGAAAAATTGTTCGGCCTACCCTAGGGAGACCGAAACCTGAAAAAATCGAAAAAAGGGGCCCACTAGGTTTTTTCTTTCAAGTAAAATTGCCCCTTGGGCATTAGGACCCAGGGGAGCAGCATTTGTGAGGTGAAAAAGAGGCCGGAGTAGGCCAAGAGGCAATCCGAGTTGGTACCAACCACTCAGACTGCATGTACCTGGCCGAAAATAGATCCAGGTGCCCCCGGAGAGGCCTAGAGGTGAAAATTGGCCTTGGGGGTACCTTGGTTCACCTTGGGGCACTTAGGAGGGCTTAAGGGCTGGCCGGACTGCTGTTCCCAGCCTATATAAGCTGGGGATTCAGTCCGCCACACTCATATGTGCATGAGGAGTGCCCATGCTGCCCAAATGAGCCCATGAAAGCTCTAGAGGCAATTGGAGAGTAGTGAGGGGAACCCCTGCCAGTCTGGAAGCTCTGGAGGCAATTGGCCTAGAGCCCATATGAGCTAGTAGGAGGGGGCTCTACAAGCTAGTGGTAGTGGAGGGGGTAATCTGCCATAGCTCCCAGGCTAGTGGAGAGGAAGGGAAGACTGAGAGGAGTCTCATTAGCCCTCCTAGACCGGAGGACTCCCTAGTCTTAGTAGGAGGAGCCATAGCAACTTGGAGGAAGTGAGAGAAGGAGGAAGAAAGGCTTGAAGGAGGAGGAAGCCATAGCCAAGGAGGAGGAAGCTTCATTGAGAGTGAGGCATCCTAGGGGTGAGTGAAGAGATGCCCCCCTTTCCTTTTTCCTTCTCTTCTCTCCCCTTCCCTCTCTCTTTTTCTCCCCTTCCTCTTCTTCTTCTTCTTCTTCTTCTTCTTCTTCTTCTTCTTCTTCTTCCTTCTCTCCTTCTTCTTCTTCTTCTCCTTCTCCTTCTTCTTCTTCTTCTTCTTCTTCTCCTCTTCATCCCCCTCCTCCCCTTCCTTTTCCCCTTCCCTCCCTTCTTTCTTTGCCTCTTCTCTCCCTCACCCTTCTCTCCATCTCTCTCCTCATTCATCTCTTAGTGTAGTTGAGCTCAAATCTTGTCTTTTTCACTTGTAATCTTCATCATCTACTTGTTTTTCCACTTGGGAGCAAATCGCAACTCATATGTTGATGTTTCCTAGTGTTTTGGTGATGTACAGTGCATGTATTGTCCTTTTTTCCCCTCCTATGTGAATCACAATTCATTTCCTAGTGCAGTTGAGCTCAAATCTTGTATTTTTCACTTGTAATTTTCATCATCTACTTGTTTTTCCACTTGGGAGTAAATCGCAACTTATGTGTTGATGTTTCCTAATGTTTTGGTGATGAAGAGTGCATGCATTGTCCATTTCTCCCCTCCTCTGTGAATCGCAATTCATCTCCTAGTACAGTTTATCTCAAATCTTGTTTTTCTCACCTGTAATCTTCATCATCTACTTGTCTTTTCACTTAGGAGTAAATCGCAACTCATGTGTTGATGTTTCCTAGTGTTTTTGTGATGTAGAGTGCATGTATTGTCAATTTCTCCCCTCCTATGTGAATCACAATTCATCTCCTAGTGTAGTTGAGCTCAAATCTTGTTTTTTTCACTTGTAATCTTCATCTACTTATTTTCCAACTTGGGAGTAAATCGCAGCTCATGTGTTAATGTTTCATAGTGTTTTTGTGATGTAGAGTGTATGTATTATTTATTTCCCCCCTCCTATGTGAATCGCAATTCATCTCCTAGTGTAGTTGAACTCAAATCTTGTCTTTTTCACTTGTAATCTTCATCATCTACTTGTTTTTCTACTTGGGAGTAAATCGCAACTCATGTGTTGATGTTTCCTAGTGTTTTGGTGATGTAGAGTGCATGTATTGTCAATTTTTCCCCTCCTATGTGAATTGCAGTTCGTCTCCTAGTGTAGTTGAGCTCAAATCTTGTCTTTTTCTCTTGTAATCTTCATTATCTACTTGTTTTCCTAATTGGGAGTAAATCGCAACTCATGTGTTGATGTTTCCTAGTGTTTTTGTGATGTAGAGTGCATGTATTGTCCATTTCCCCCCTTCTGTGTGAATCGCAATTCATCTCATAGTGTAGTTGAGCTAAAATCTTATTTTTTTCACTTGTAATCTTCATCATCTACTTGTTTTCCTACTTGGGAGTAAATCGCAACTCATGTGTTGATGTTTCCTTGTATTTTGGTGATGTAGAGTGCATGTATTGTTCATTTCTCCCCTCCTATGTGAATCGCAATTCATCTCCTAGTGTAGTTGAGCTCAA